CGGCATAACTCCGCCATGATCATGGTTATGTGGGATTATGTCGTTTTGAAACGACATATCTCCACCGCTCTAAAAACAACATTTTTACAATAAATTTTATGCATTTTACAAGAAAGATATGTCGTTTCAAAACGACATAACACCGCCATGAAAATAGTTATGTGGGATTATGTCGTTTCGAAACGACATATCTCCGCCGCTCTAAAAACAACATTTTTACAAGAAATTTTGCAAAAATACCAGGCGAATAGAAATGACTAGCAGGTATATGCTCACAAAATTTCCGCGGAGATATGTCGTTTCAAAACGACATACCTCCGCCATGATCATGATTATGTGGGATTATGTCGTTTTGAAACGACATATCTCCACCGCTCTAAAAACAACATTTTTTCGTTTCAAAACGATATAACTCCGCCAGATAATGGGTATGTGGGATTATGTCGTTTTGAAACGACATATCTCCACCGCTCTAAAAATAACATTTTTACAATAAATGTTATGCATTTTACAAGAAAGATATGTCGTTTCAAAACGACATAACTCCACCATGATAATAGTTATGTGGGATTATGTCGTTTTGAAACGACATATCTCCACCGCTCTAAAAACAACACGTTTACAAGAAATTTTGCAAAAATACCAGGCGAATAGAAATGACTAGCAGGTAGATGCACAGAAAATTTCCGCGGAGATATGTCGTTTCAAAACGACATAACTCCGCCATGATAATGGTTATGTGGGATTATGTCGTTTCGAAACGACATATCTCCGCCGCTCTAAAAACAACATTTTTACAAGAAATTTTGCAAAAATACCAGTCGAACAGAAATGACTAGCAGGTAGATGCACAGAAAATGTCCGTGGAGATATGTCGTTTCAAAACGACATAACTCCGCCATGATAATGGTTATGTGGGATTATGTCGTTTCGAAACGACATATCTCCGCCGCTCTAAAAACAACATTTTTACAAGAAATTTTGCAAAAATACCAGGCGAATAGAAATGACTAGCAGGTAGATGCTCACAAACTTTCCGCGGAGATATGTCGTTTCAAAACGACATACCTCCGCCATGATCATGGTTATGTGGGATTATGTCGTTTTGAAACGACATATCTCCACCGCTCTAAAAACAACATTTTTACAAGAAATTTTGCAAAAATACCAACAGAAATGACAAGCTGGTAGATGCACAGAAAATTTCCGCGGAGATATGTCGTTTCAATACGACATAACTCCGCCATGATAATGGTTATGTGGGATTATGTCGTTTCGAAACGACATATCTCCACCGCTCTAAAATCAAGATTTTTACAAGAAATTTTGCAAAAATACCAGGCGAACAGAAATGACAAGCAGGTAGATGCTCACAAAATTTCCGCGGAGATATGTCGTTTCAAAACGACATAGCTCCGCCATGATCATGGTTATGTGGGATTATGTCGTTTTGAAACGACATATCTCCACCGCTCTAAAAACAACATTTTTACAAGAAATTTCATGTTTTTTACAAGAAAGATATGTCGTTTCAAAACGACATAACTCCACCAAGATAATGGTTATGTGGGATTATGTCGTTTTGAAACGACATATCTCCACCGCTCTAAAACAACATTTTTACAAGAAATTTTGCAAAAATACCAGGCGAACAGAAATGACTAGCAGGTAGATGCACAGAAAATTTCCGCGGAGATATGTCGTTTCAAAACGACATACCTCCGCCATGATAATGGTTATGTGGGATTATGTCGTTTTGAAACGACATATCTCCAACGCTCTACAAATAACATTTTTACAATAAATGTTATGCATTTTACAAGAAAGATATGTCGTTTCAAAACGACATAACTCCACCATGATAATAGTTATGTGGGATTATGTCGTTTTGAAACGACATATCTCCGCCGCTCTAAAAACAACATTTTTACAATAAATGTTATGCATTTTACAAGAAAGATATGTCGTTTCAAAACGACATAACTCCACCATGATAATAGTTATGTGGGATTATGTCGTTTTGAAACGACATATCTCCACCGCTCTAAAACAACATTTTTACAAGAAATTTTGCAAAAATACCAGGCGAACAGAAATGACTAGCAGGTAGATGCACAGAAAATTTCCGCGGAGATATGTCGTTTCAAAACGACATACCTCCGCCATGATCAGGGTTATGTGGGATTATGTCGTTTTGAAACGACATATCTCCGCCGCTCTAAAAACAACATTTTTACAAGAAATTTTGCAAAAATATCAGGCGAACAGAAATGACTAGCAGCTAGATGCACAGAAAATTTCCGTGGAGATATGTCGTTTCAAAACGACATAACTCCGCCATGATCAGGGTTATGTGGGATTATGTCGTTTTGAAACGACATATCTCCGCCGCTCTAAAAACAACATTTTTACAATAAATGTTATGCATTTTACAAGAAAGATATGTCGTTTCAAAACGACATAACTCCACCATGATAATAGTTATGTGGGATTATGTCGTTTTGAAACGACATATCTCCACCGCTCTAAAACAACATTTTTACAAGAAATTTTGCAAAAATACCAGGCGAACAGAAATGACTAGCAGGTAGATGCACAGAAAATTTCCGCGGAGATATGTCGTTTCAAAACGACATACCTCCGCCATGATCAGGGTTATGTGGGATTATGTCGTTTTGAAACGACATATCTCCGCCGCTCTAAAAACAACATTTTTACAAGAAATTTTGCAAAAATATCAGGCGAACAGAAATGACTAGCAGCTAGATGCACAGAAAATTTCCGTGGAGATATGTCGTTTCAAAACGACATAACTCCGCCATGATCAGGGTTATGTGGGATTATGTCGTTTTGAAACGACATATCTCCGCCGCTCTAAAAACAACATTTTTACAATAAATGTTATGCATTTTACAAGAAAGATATGTCGTTTCAAAACGACATAACTCCACCATGATAATAGTTATGTGGGATTATGTCGTTTTGAAACGACATATCTCCACCGCTCTAAAACAACATTTTTACAAGAAATTTTGCAAAAATACCAGGCGAACAGAAATGACTAGCAGGTAGATGCACAGAAAATTTCCGCGGAGATATGTCGTTTCAAAACGACATACCTCCGCCATGATAATGGTTATGTGGGATTATGTCGTTTCGAAACGACATATCTCCACCGCTCTAAAATCAAGATTTTTACAAGAAATTTTGCAAAAATACCAGGCGAACAGAAATGACTAGCAGGTAGATAGATGCACAGAAAATTTCCGTGGAGATATGTCGTTTCAAAACGACATAACTCCGCCATGATCAGGGTTATGTGGGATTATGTCGTTTTGAAACGACATATCTCCGCCGCTCTAAAAACAACATTTTTACAAGAAATTTTGCAAAAATACCAGGCGAACAGAAATGACTAGCAGGTAGATGCACAGAAAATTTGCGCGGAGATTTGTCGTTTCAAAACGACATATTTATTTTATTTTTTTAATACTTATATAGCTGCCGCCGTGTGCCACAAAACGACGAAGTCAAATGGCGTGTATTAAACTTTAAATTGTTTTTTAATGGTATTTGCCGTATAATCGAAATAAAAAACAACAACACGGCAAGATTAACTGCTTGGCGGCAAGGGCTGGGGCACACGTAAAATTTTCAATTTGGATATTCAACGTGCGCCCGCTGCGAAACGCTGGACACAATAAAATAATGAGCACCAAATTACACAAAAAGCGTGGAAAAATGGCCGTGAGCACCATTAACCGGGCCCCTGAGTAGAAAATGAATTCTAAAAGTGTTGACAACCACTTTTGGTAATATGCTCAAGCAGACAGGCTGAAGGCTGGCAGGCCGAGCAGGGCTAGGACGGGAACGGCACCCTGCCGGGGCCAAAAAGATGCTAAAACAATTACAACGACGCTGGCAGGAACACAACAACAGCAGCAGCAGGAGCAGCGACAATGACAGGCGCAGAATCCAGTAAAATTTATTTGCTGTGCGATAATTTTAAAGAACAAAGACGAACATTTTCTCTAGCAACTCAGCTGCTTGTCGGGCAGGCTAGGGCTCGGGGTAAAGTGCCCTATTTTATTTGGGCCCAACTCGACCTTTGTGCAAGCCAAATATGGCGCTTAGCTCGCGCTTTAATTAGCTCTGCAACGTTCTATAATTGCAATCTAAGGCTCGAAATTTAAATAAAACTTTCTTTAAGTTATGCTAAAATTTGGTTAGGTACAAAACAAAGCGTTTGACCACAAATCATGTTAATGATCTTAAAATTAGAGACCTTTAAGAAATGAAAAAAATATGAAAGCTATATACTTGTGCTGCTGTCAACTTAAGTGTGGCAAATTATTTGAAGTACTTTCAGCAATGCGTGTAAATTTTGTTGTTGCTGCCGCTTTCATTTCATTTTCATTTCTTTTTACAACAGTGAGTTATAATCTTACAGAAAAGAAAATTGATTATATTTTGTACACTTACCTTAGCAATCCAAAAAGTTATCAAAGTGAGCTGCTTTTACGTTATAGATAATTTTTTATTAAAATTTAATTTTTATTTTACAACTAAACGCTTAGAAACTAAAATGTCATCGATTTAACTTAAGTACAGACACAAAAGTATGCTAAAAATTCATGTTTTGTTTAATCCGCATGTCTTGGCAAGTCAGAAGTCAGAAATTGTACGTAATTAAAAATTCAGAAAAACACATACAACAATAGAGTATACACAAGAATGTTCATCTTAGGATATCAAATGATTTAAACAAAATTTCAAAATTGAAATTGTAGAAGTGGCGAGCTTTAAGTGTTTGTCTTTTTATATATATATATATATATTATATTGTATATAATCTATGGACCGATTTGATGTAAATTGTTTGCTATATATTATTTATGTGTCAATTATTTCTTTTATAATTCAGCTTTAATGTATATCATGTTTAATTCTGCTTGCTTAAAATGCGTTTATATTGCTTATGTGAAATTTTTTTAAATTTATTTAGTTCGAAAGCAGATCTGATGCAATTTATATTCATATTTATATTTGAATGTGTGCGTATCGATGCGGCAGCTGCTTAGCATGTATGTAAATTGCTTATGCTTGTATGTTTTTTTATTTTTTATAGCCTTTTATGAATCAATTGTTTGTGTGAATATCGTTTAAATAGGCAATTAATAGATTTATCAAAACTTAACATCACATTGCTTTTCCAATTACATGTAGATTTATATATGCTTTAGAGTTTATAGTTATTTGATGCAATTCGGTATTATATATATATATATATATATATATATTGATTGTTTTTATGATGAATTAAAATGTATGAAATGTGATTCGATTTTGCTTATGTTTTCATGCGTATATATATATATAGGTGTGTGTGTACTTGTAATACTTGTTTGTTCATTTTTCATTTTCATTTAGTTGTATTTTTGATAGAATTATTTATTAACATCTTGAAACGTTGCGTTACTTTTAGTTGCAATTAATATGCTTAATTATGTAATTATTTAAATTTAATTTAATTGTTTAAAATAACGATATGAAGTGATTTTTATTTTCGGTTTTAATATTGTATGTGTTGCAAGTGGCAGTTTTGTATTAAATTGTTTGTAGCTAGCTAGTTTATGGTCTGTATAACCCATAGACAAGTGTCTGTATTTAATAACTTTTATCAGCTCTCTTGATTATTTGAGTATGTAGAATAAATGCACTGTACTGGAAGTGGCTCTCTATACACATATGTACGTTGATATTCGTATAAATGCAGTATCTACGAGTTGAATGCTTAAATTTATCAGTTTAGCGCCAATGATGATTGATGATAGATGATTGATCGCTGTAACTAGGCGGTCTGTTTTAGCTCTGATTCGATTTGATTTGATTTCATTTCATTTGCGCGTTTCAATCCTGGGAACTGTTTGAGGAATTAGTAGAAACGTTTGATAGACATGGATGTTGGCATGGTAACTGTGCCGCTTTTGTCATGATATCAAACGTTATTCTTGCGGAATATATCATTGGGGTGCTGATTGCTGCTGAAGTTCTGGCGAGTCGAGCATTGCTGTAAGAAATCCATAATCGTAGACAAATGTTGAATTAAATGCGTGCAGTAACCGGCTGTGATGAGTATTATAAGCTTATTACATATTGGCGGATATGACAGACGGCAAATAATTGCATTTTAATTGCTTGTAGCGGGCAAATGACGCCACACACACGCACACACACACTCAACAACAACAACAACAACAACAACAACAGCAGCACGTAGGCAATTACCAGGCATTGAGGTCGCACCTCGCTGCATGCCACATACATACATCGTATCGGCGGTCAATTGAACCATATTGAGAGGCGGCCGCCTGGCTAAAACCGCTGCAAGCCACATTGGCCGACAGGCCGACAGGACGAAAGGCTAGCGGGCTGACAGTGCAAGCCGATTGCTGGCCGCTGGTGTTTAGATAATGACAGCTTAACTACTTTACACTGTTTGTGATTTGACGCTGTGGTGTCAGTTAGCCAGCAGGCTATTAAAATAATTGCCGGCCAAATCATTTATTATGGCATGTGCCTGCCCCCGGCTCTGTCTTTCTCTCTGTGTGTGTGTGTGTGTGACGCTCATTAGCGCCGCCTGCGGTGATAATTTCAATCAGGATAATAACTTACCGCTTGTTTCTTTTCCCAGGACTTCATGGCTGTTTTATATTTCTCGAATTCGTGACACCAATCCGAATAGATTTTCTGATAGTCATTGCTTTTGTTCGGTGGCGTGCATCTATGTGGGTAAAAGCACTTGGTAATTAGCAGTCAATTTAGGAGTATTTACCGGCGCAACTCACCTGTGTGCGTCGACGGTTATGTTGTAGCTGCACAAAAGCGAGCCGCCCAAGTGGCAGTCATAGCGCCCGCCGTCGGCCTCATTCACAGACACCACAACCAGGCCGCGTTCCGTTGTCTCAATGTACTTGGTAGGGCTGTATTTGATTTCATAGCTGGCAACAGAAGTATTATTATATCGTTTATTTGTTTGAACAGACAGCTAGTTGGGTTAGTGTTTGATTAACTTACCGTCCCCTGTCCTTGGAATGATGGTACCAGGTGACCTGTTCGTTCTTCAGTACCTCGGGTATTTTCACAAAGCAGCCCAGATGAACGCTCTGGCCGTAGGTGACGACAATTTTCTTCTTCAGCACACTCGAGTCGCATATATCGCTCGTCTCGTTGGCCACATCCTGTGTATCGATTGTCAGAGTAGTGCTTAAGGCTCAAGGCTGGAGAACACACTTTACGGCCACTTACCTGCAACAGATCCAATTCGTATGGACGGCACGTGTTGGCCTCCTTGTCCCAGCCACAGTAGGGATCACGCACACAACGGAAGCAATTGTCATAACGACGATTGCACATAGCCAGGTCGATTTGCTTGATGCGATGATCGGTGCCCACATAGAGCGATTTACGTGTCTGGCTGATTTCCATCACCTGGATGGCCTCGTTGGGCGCCACCTCGAAGATATCCAGCAGCTTTGACAGGGACTCGCCATTGCGATAATACTGCACGATTTTATAGATGCGACCCAGATTGGTGCCCACGTAGTAGACCGTGTACTCCTGGTTCAGTATGTCGATTTTGATTCTGCAAAAGGCAAGTCATAAATTCAAAAGGACCAGATTTAAATATTGCATACATTAAATGTGGCTTTGTGCATTCGTTTCGGGAACGGGCAGCTATGGAAATTAAATGCTTATTAAATATGATAAATGGCCAGAATATTAACGAATTAAATAGTCGCATCTGTGCGCATTCTTGTTTGCTTTTATGTTTGCTGTGCATATTAATAGCACCTGAACTGTTGTAAGCGCAGGTATTAAAATTCGTTACATGATTTCCATATTTTCAGGAAGTTGCGGGACAATCAATGCACAAAGGAGCTCGATTCGTGTCTATGCGAAATAAGATAATACAAATTGTAACGTTCGTATATTTATAACCTTGTAAAGAGTATTTTAATTTCGTCATGACATGCATCGAAGGACACCTCCCCGGCCTTATATAGTAAATATATATTCTAGATAAGGATAAATACTTCCAAAATTAGCTTCTTGCATGAACAACTTTATTGTTTATCAATCAAAATCGGCATTTAAAGTTTCACTAGATCGGTGGAGTAGTAGGATCTTATATGAAAAAGTATTCTGTGTTCAAAGATATTGCATAAATAAAGCAATAGGGAAATGTCTACAAGGGTATTAAATCTTCGGCATGCCAACTTCCTTGGCTCATTTAATTTTTTTGTTCCGCATATTATTTATCTATTTTTTATATACGACTGTAATTATGTTTAAAATTTCAATAACATTGCAATAAAATATTGCTATAAAAACAAGCTGTGTTTAACTTTTAATTAAACAAAAAAAAAAAAAAGAAGAAAAAGAGAAGTGTTCATATAAAAAGTTTGATTAATAAATAGTATTCCGAAGGAATGTGTTCTCACAAAGTTGTTTCAGCATTTTAATTAATTAATTCATTTTAATCGTTGAGTGAGAAATCATTTTGTCCATCTAGCAAAATATTTGCTACATTGCAAAACTTATTAACAATAGGTTACTTTTTCTTTTAGAATTGTTTTTGATGTTGGTTGTGGTTTGCTTCCTAAATTTATCTGCCCATAAGCAACATTAGCTAATTGCTTTAGCTTAAAATATTTAAGAAAACTATTTAATTAAACTCAGTTTTCTTTGTGCTCTTAATCCATTGTCATCAGCTTTCAGATGTTGCTGGAGTTACTTTACTTTTTGGTTACAGTATTTATTTCTCATCTACGGTTAAAATGGGCTTTTCCATAAATATGTACGAATGTGGTTTTCCATTTATTTGCGCTCATCTCGTGATTTACTCGACTCGAAAAAGATATTGGATTCAAATGCAGCAGGTGAATTTCTGTTGGCCGAGTTTTTAAACCCACCTGACTATGAACAAAAAAATTTTAAATTGATATTGTGTTCGAGTTGGTAACAGGCAACACTTTAGACTTGGGTTATTTAAAGCACTCAAATAATCAAATAATAAATTTTCGTACATGGATTTTCACTTTAACAGGCCAAACCACAAAGAGAAACAAATCGAAATATGCAAATAAATTCTATAAAAAAATTGAACAAAAAGCTGTCCACACACACACACACACACACACACACTCGGCCAGACATTGTGCATATGTGTGCACTTAGAGAGACGTGTGTGTGACTGTGTGTGTGTGTGTGTGCGTGTGTGATACACATACATATTTAGCTAGCTTGTTCATGAAAGCAATTCATAGAAAGAGAGAGAGACGGAGAGATAACAAGCAGAAATAAAACTTACTTGTCAACAACGAGCTTTGTGAACACCAAATCCCTTTTATAATAGACCGGATTGTTGTGCTCGTGATTTACGGCTTTGTCCATAAGTGGATGCGAGCGTATGAAATTCAGGACAGTATCTGGCAGATTTGAGGTATCGTTGACACATGTGCCGGGTCGCGGATCGGGCACGCGGGAGTTCAGCACCGGCAGCCAGGCGGAGTTTGAAGAGGATTGCTCCTTAAATTTGCCTGCAAGTGAACAAAACAATAACAAAAACAAAATCAGATTCAAAATGGAAGAAAAAAAATATGAGAAAAGGATTATGCTTAAGAGTTATTCACTACCAACTGCAGCAGCAGCAGCTACAAATTTCAGGTGCACGCAGTTGCTGGCAAGTGTTTGCAATGAAGTTTTAAATCTGCGACCCCAAAGTGTCAGCTGTTGTGCAGCTGAGCGTTAAGCGAGTGTGTGTGTGTATGAGTGTGTGTGGCTATAATCCATTCAAATGGATTTTCTAATACGATTTATGTTGCTCGACGGCAAACGAGTGCGCTGAAATTACAAAACACTCAACACCCTGAGTGCTGTGCTGTTCTGAGCTGTTACGATTGGATCTGTGCTACCTATTGGATTTATTGTTAAACTCGTAACTGTCCCCGTCCGGTAAGCTCAGCAGCTGCAATGAAAATCACACAGGGGCCAGCTGAAACCAATGTGCTGCAGTTTGCAAATAAAATTTGCCGATAAGTTGCATTTGCCATTTCTATTTCGATTTCTATTTGTATATCCATATATATATATATATATATTCCTATTACTATTTCCACTCAAAGCACTTGAGGGATTGAGCACAATTTAGTTGGGAGGGGGGGCTTGGGGAAAAACAAAAGAGAAAATTGCACGTCAGTTGACGTTGACAGTTGGCAACATTGTGGCCACGATAACGTTCGTACATCACATCCAGGAGCATCCATTTTGCACAGCACACTTAACATCTGCACACTTATATATATATATATATACATTCATATGTATTTGAGAGCCCACTCACCGTTGAAGGCGGCCTGCACCTCGTTAATGTGGAAACTGCATACGGCTGATCCAATCAGACCATTGGTGCTGGTCGTGAACGTGGCGTAGAAACGGGTCTTGTCCGTGGGCAGTTGGTAAACCGATTGTATCTCATTAAAGTAGAACGGAAATTCGCCCGAAATGCTGCAGTTGAGGCGTGCCTTCAGATACGTGGCCCAGTTGTGGGCCAGCAGATTCTTGCCGCCCACATCCTTTTTGCAGACACGCGCAATACGGGAATAGACCGCCTTGCCGCAGTTAATGTACTCCACGGCCGTTTCGCGGAAAAAGAAATACACATAGTCCCCAATGTCGAAGGAGCCAACGAAATTGGGTTCTGCAAATAGAAGACGAAGAAGTGAGATTGATGACCTTCTGTGAGTAACGATCTACATAATTGGACGTCCTAAGCCGCTTAGCTGTCCTCCACTTGCTTGCTTGCGAATCGCATCAACAGGCAACTCGCAACTGGCAAATGGCAACTGGCGACTGGCAACAACCCAGCTTCTGTGTGCGTGCCAATACAAACAATGAGACTCATGCGCGAAATCATTTGTAAGGACGCAACAGCAAATCCTTTTTTCAATTTTATCTAGAGCCACAGAAGCAGCAGCAGCAGCAGGAGGAACAGCTCTCGGTTTTTACTTACTGTCCAACCACTTGGAATCATATTTGAGCGTGCGCTTGAATTTGTATTCCAAGCGCTTTGCCGACGTATTATACAAATCCGTTCGAAAGATCACAGTATCCGCCTTTGTGAATTCCGCATTTGTGCCCGAGTACTGTGCAAAAGATACAAAACACAAACAGGAACACAGTGAGAAAAACTAATTGAAGTACTCTGTCGCTATTTATGTGGCAGCCAGCACATATATATAGATGTATATGCAGCCTTTGGGCTTAGTTCGAATCCCATTGTAAATATATACATATGAATATGTAACTCACCAGGCCAGGCAGTCCGCCGGGATTACCGTCCTCTACGTAAATGGCAGTTGAATTGTCCAAAGGATCGTACGGACATTTTGCAATTCCAAGCCCAACGCCGATCACGTACTCGGACCGTGGCAAATGCGTCAGGTTCGACTAGGATGTACGAAAACAATAGGTTGAGAAATATTCAAATTAATGTTTGTATTTTTGTAGTTCAATTAAGCATCTATATCCATTCTTTTGATCAATAAAAATAAGCTTCTAATATTATTTCAGCTTTCTAAAAAATAAAATAATGATTGTCTTAGCACGTCCCACGAAAGCCCTAAAAACTTTTTACTAATTGTTGAGCTGATTCCAGCTGGCGAAATGCTGAATACAAAGCGCAAAAACTTGCCAAATATTGCTTTTAGTTTTGCTTGTTTTACCTCTTGTTGTTGATGTTTTGCTTTTAGTTTAAGTTTTTGCTAGCACCAAATCAAAATGCATGGTTTATTGCGGAGGCTCTGCTCTCCCAAAGGGCGGGGCAAAGGATGAATTGTGCACCTGAAGTATGTGTGCGTGTGTGTGTGATTTGTATGCGTTGCGAGCAGCTTTTGGTAGCACCTGCACACTAATGACTATTTTCACAACAAGTAGTCAACAGAAAAGTTATAGAACTTATATATATATCTATCTAGTTATATATGCCAAGCGGTATATGATGTAGAGGCAAAAGACGGCGAAAATGCAGTACGCTATTCAGTTCATATACAAAAGGACATATGCGTTGCTTTGTGCGTGTGTGTGTGTGTGTGTGTGTGTGTGTGGCTGTTCCAGGATAGCGATCTAAAGTCAACAGCCATACACACACGCAGACACACAAAGCAGGCCTCGTTTGTTATTTGCTGAAAATCTTTTCAAAAGTTGCGTAGTTGCGTTATCATTGCTATAAAACTTGTCCTTGAGCCACAACACTAACACACACAAAGGGTTGTAGGTGTAGGCAGCTGTTATGTACTTACATAGATGACATAATCCTTGGGATTGTGAGCATTGGTGCCACAAACATAGAGCCTATCACCTTGCTGCATTGATTGTATGACGCGCACATGGTTCTTGCAATCAAAGACCTGGAAAGAAGAGCATTGAAAAATATTTGTGAAAAAAAAACAAGAAGATTGAATATCGTCGGCAAGCCGAAGATTAAATATCCTTGCAGACGTATGGCGTACGATTTTGCGATGTGAGGAGAATAATGAAGACATCTTGAAAAACTAAATAAAATACTAAATCTTATGGCAGCTATATGATAAAGTGGAACGATTCTGCTAATTCCGATATATGTTATACTTAAAAGAAAAAAGCGAACCTATAACATTCCATGGCGCTAGCTTAAAAGCTGAGAACATGAACAGACAGACATGACTAACTATAATTTTTAATTTATATTATACTCTATAGGATGGGAGACGTGTCCTTCTATGCGTTACACATTTTGTGACCAAATTATAATACCCTTTGCCAGAGTATTGAGATAATAGAGCTCAATGAGCAACAAACTTGCCACACAAGTTGGCTACGAAAATTGCTATATGCCACAAGCATACACTGACATACACACACTGAGACAAGAAATAAATCAAAACTGGGTATCTGAGTGTGTGTGTGTGTGAGGGTGTGTGTGGTTGAGTGTGTGCCGCAAACGCTACAATTTGTAATAGCACGCGTCGCTGCAGCCACTGCCGCTAAATCAATTGGCAACAATGCAACGCTGGAAAATCCCTGGCAGAGACGCACAGCAGCATTATTATGACTTAAGCAAGCCGCACACACACACTCGTACAGACATGGGGCGCAACTGTGCACCAAAAACAGTTCAATTGACATCTAGATACAAGCTACAATCAGATACACACACACATATCGGAGGAACATGTGTACGGAATATGTTTGGCGTACTGAGTGTGTGTGTGTGGCATGCAACTGAAACTGAAGCGCACGAAAAACTCGCTACAAATTGAAAAGCCACAAATAAATTGAAAGAGATTTCAAATGAAAGGATTTGCTGTCACATTATAAACGAGTTACAATAACAGCCAACAGAAGCGTCAGAGCCAGCGCCAGCATTTGCAAAGCGCAGCACTAGAAACTGCGATTCGGAATAGGAATCGGAATCGGATTCGGTTTTGAAATTGGAGCATTTCGCGTGTGCCCGCTCCAAAAAGAAATTGATTCAGCCCAGACGCTACTCAATGCACTGGTGTGTGCGTCTCTCTCTGTCTGTGTGTGTGTGTGTAATCAGTAAGTGCCGCCTCGATGCCACCATATGATATAAAAATCAATCAAAAGCTGAGCATGTAACATTGCAACTGCCGTTCGCGACTCATGGAGAACGAGAGCTATCTAAGTATTGGCATAAATAGGTCCCACATAAATGCAATCGTCGGTGCATTGATTGAATTCTTTGCTTTAAGTTGTGTTTGCCATAAACGCAAATGTTTATTGACTTACCTGACTTTTGCCCTTCGACACACAGCTGACCACATCGTCGCGTGTGGGCTCCAAGTTGATCACATCACGCTGGAAAACAAAGACAAATCAAGTTAATTAAATTAATTTTAGATAAATAGGCAGCTGTTAGTATTAGTGTATTACTAATTAAAACATGATGTTAAGAAGAGTATGAGCAAGTATAGATTATAATTATTATTAGATTCCACATTTTTATTGTTAATATATACAAGCTAGACGATCGAGTATAGCATACTTTAAGGGGTTCATTAAAAATATATATAAAAACTATTTTCGAATATTTGTTAAGGATTGTTCGAAAGGGAATCGAAAAGTTAAATGAAACTAAAAACATTGAAGAAAACTAATAGCCCAGCATTTAAGTTTCTCTTCTCATTCGAATGCACATCCAAAACAATTACAAACGCAATTGAATAAAAAGTGTAAATTGTGATTCAATGCCGAAACTGGAATTTTAATAAAAACACATTTGTATGCAGTCTCAGGCAAGGACTTGGATTCTTAGGCGAAAATGGTTACGCGTTTTCTTCTTTAATTTTTTTTTTTGGGCTACATTTTGTGGTGCCACGCATAAACTACAACTAGAAGCTGTCAGACGGGGCTTGGGTGTAAGAAGAATAAAGGGCGACCAGCTTGGGCCAAGCTGCCTGTAGCATGCTTTCAAGCAAATTGATTTATAAATCACGTAATGTAACGAGCACATACGAAATATTTTCAAGCGAAATGCGCGCACGCACCACACCGCACCACCCCGCCAAAATGTGGGGGCACACAGCGTCAGAGCGTCCACATAAAACCAAAATCATGTATTATTTAGTAAAATTTGCATTTGCCGCATAAAGCAGCCGCAGCAGCAGTAGCGGCAGCGGCAGCGGCATCGGCACACCTTGCCACTCGTCCTCGGTAGGCACTACCAAATGATGCCCAGGGCGAACGCAGTTACTCGCACAGTGTGTGAAATAACACATAAAATATATTGACAGATGCCGGTTGCCAGACCTGGTTGACTGCTGTGCTGGATAAGTGGGTGGTGGCCAGGTGCGAAGGTGCTGAGGTGCGGAGGTGGACTTGTGCTCAGCTGTCTCGAAACGGCAGCAAAACGTGGCGTCTTTCGGTTTTATGATACGTTTGCGGCCAGGTTTTAGCTGTTGCAGGTGCACGGCAGGCGCAGCCACACAACGTTTCACTCATAAAACAAGCTTTTGTATGACATAAATTCATAAACAGCCTCCCACACACACACACACATATACACTCCCTTGGCATGTGTATGCATATGTGTGTGTGTGTGTGTTATCGACTTTTACGAATTTCGATAATTCGCAAGTTCGGCATTTATGGGAAAATTACTCACACACACACACACAAACCTTTCGGCTCACACACATTGGCACTGAGAAAAAATGAAATATCAAATACTATTTTCCTTGCCATAATGACTAAATGAATATTATAAAATATAATTTAAAATAATTGTGTCCTTTTTAATGTGCTCTTCTAATAACACAAAGACTTTTAGAAAAAAATCATTTAAAATGTATTTATCCCCTCTAGTAAACATTCGAATGTGCTCGTAATTGAATTAAAACCGATTGGACTTAAATTTTCTCAGAATTTATGTGGGTTACTGGAAAATGTTGGCTCAAAACATCTTTTAAATATTTAATATATGCAACAGAACCAAAGGGCAAACAAAACGTATGCGCTGTTTTGTTATTTTCGCTCAGTGTACATAATTTATGCGGTACTCAGCCATTACCACGGCATGTGGAATCTGGGCCCGTGCATGGGCAAAACGAAAGGCCCATAATGCAGCCCCCAGAGCGCATATTAAATATGTTTTTTTTTTGTCGGCCCTTTTTGCTTTGTTGGCCTGTGAGGTGGACAGGGACACGTTTGCATTCGGATTTGCTGGGGACTGAGTAACTAAAACAGATATTTTTCACTCGCTTACATTGGGGAATCGAAGATTTGTGGCTCGCGTTTGATGCGCGCCTAAAAGGTGGCTTTGTTTTCACCTCCCCCGTGTCTTTTAGCCCTATGTTGCGTTGTGGCTGAGTGTTGACAGAGTCCGACGATAAAAAAAAAATACAGCTAAAAGGACGGGCTTAAGCCGTTTTGGCAAACTACACGCTAGTGTGCACACGCACACGCACACACACACACACACCCACACACATACATATATAAATATATGCAAACATACATAGACAAATTTGTGCGGAAGGCGCGTAATGAATTTTTAAAACTGTGCCGCAGCGTGGCATAGCTTGTTTCCCTAAAAGCGTGCTACACGTTTTATGTGCTCACTCGCTGGTTGTTAGATTTGTGGCCAGGGGAATTGTGCACAACAGCAACAACAACAACAACAACAACAACAAAAACAACAACAACATAAACAACAGAAACCGTAACAACAATAGCAACATCCAGTAGACCACTCGACAAGCGAGCGAAACAAACGGAGCTCGTGGGAGCTTAGCCTAAAAGCAAATGCCAGGGTTATATATACTTATTGTTATTGTTGCCGCGCATAGTTGTTGTGCCCACTATGGTTGTTATTGTTGTTGTTGTTGGTTTATTATAAATTAATACCTAGCAATAAATGTATTCATACTTACATCACAATACGAAGAGGATATATTTTGCAAATTCAAACGGAATACGCGATCCCTGCGAACAGTAAGTAGAGAGAATTGGATTTCAGTTTGGTCAGCAGCTAAGAGCCTGGGATTAGTTGGATGTTGGATACTTACATGGCGCCCACATACAGCGAATCGCGCTCCTCATTCAAGTGAAACGTGCGGTAGTAGAGTTTGCCGCATGTGAACTCGCGCACATGATCTGCAAGAAGCATAGAGAAAAGAACATCCATACATTATTGTAAATAGTTAGCATAGTTTATTCTCGTTCAATATTTAGACAACAAATTTTCTTAAGTGAGGCAGCAAATGCAAACCCACACTCGAACACGAATTGGAATTCGAGTCCCAACTACAAGACAGAGTCCGTGTCCGAGTCGGAGTCGGAGTCAGTGTTGGAGTCGGAGTTGGAGTCGAGGTCCGCACAAATGAGCGCCTGTCAACAAAGTTTATGCAGAGACATTGACAAAACGCAAACACAGTCCAAAGAGTCCAGCCAGAACGTGGCAGGGGAGTGGGGCACAGGGTTTGAGTACGGCACAAAGGACAGCCACAGGCTCGCCACATACAAACACACACACACACACACACACACACACACACACACACACAGATGTGGGCAAGAAGCGAGCGAGCAGCCGGCGCCTGTGACTGAGATATCCCATTTCAATCAAATGACATTTTGACATTTCTCTCTTTGCCGGACACTATCGCCGGCGTTGGCAAATGTAGCCAAAGTGCAAGCTTTAAATGTTGTTTATTTACTTTTAACTTTGGCCAACACAAATACTCTGCACTCACACTAGCAAATACATACACACACACACGCACACACGCTAAGATGGCAAAAATGCAGTGAGTAGTGCGTTAAAGGCAAAAAAAATAGAAGAAAACTGCGTTCGTCTCGAGTGTAACTTAATATCTTATTTCAATTTATAAACTTTTATCAACTCTTACGGTTAACTTTACCGTTAAAGTCAAAGTTAAGCTTGAAATGATTAAACCTGAAAAGGTATAATCGTATGTGAAAAACTAGTTTGTTTTTATGAGAAAATTGTACATTAAAGTTAACAAATAGGTCTAGGAAAGTAGTTCGAATTCGATAAACGAATATTAAAGCCCACAAAAGTATACTACAAATATTAAGATCTCGTATATTCTCCTATAACTGAAATTAAGAAAATTGTAAGCTCTGGTATATAGAAATATGCAGAAATAATAAGCTGTGAAATCAGACGTTATTTGTTATATAAAACTACTTTTCTAAAGAATTTGCTCTGCTCTTAATTAAACGATTAACCTGTCAAAACTATTACAATAATACATATTTTTAATATAAAGCATTTAAGTACATTTTAATTGTCAATCTCTTTTGATTTTTCAGTTATGATAATCAATTTTGGTCTGTAATTTCTATGTAATATTGGAATTTGGAATGAACGTGATTAATTTTATGCAAGCATGTTTTTTTTTTTTTGTTTGTTTGCATACATGTGTGGGAGAGAGTGTGTGTGTGTGTGTGTGTAAACTTCTTATGATAATTTCATCGACGACACGCTGTCTGTGCGTTGTTTGCACTTTGGATGAAAGTGTGCGTGTGAGAGAAAGAGAGAGGGAGAAAGCAAGGCGAAAAACGCTGAGCACGCATTTACTTAATTAAACTAATTAATATTTGCTTAGAATGCCGGACGTTCTGGACACACACACACATAGACACATTGCTCTTTAACATGCCTGTCAGCAAGTAAACTCTCAATCCCGATATCATGTCCAATTAATTTGCCGACATTTCTTACAATAATGCGCTTCAGTTCTTGTTCTTGTTGTTGTTGTTGCTCATGTGTCATATGTGCATATATGTCAGCTGTCGTCCAAGCTGCATATGCAACTTGCATTTAAGTGTCACCCACGGCCCAGAAATTAATGCTGTCAAGTAGTATTTTATAAGCCTTTATGCTAATGAATTGTGAATTCGGTTGCCGGAAAAGTTGACCCAAACAAGAGAAATCAGATTGAAAACAGTTATCGAATGCTTCAGAATTTGGTCGGTTTAATGGTAAAATGTATGTATATCGACGTATACATACAAATATATACATATGTGCGTATGACTAGCTCGCACGCAACAATGGCAAATGCAAATGCCCCCTGCCCGTGTCATTGTCTACGTTTTCTTTGTAGCCGCCCCCTTCGAACCCTTCAGCCACAAGTACAGCTATTTTTGATTTCCGATTTAAAGTACATTTTGGACAAAAGCAAACACTGTAGTTTTCCCAGGCCAAAAGTAGCAGCGTCAATAAAGGCACAAAAAAAAAGAATATATAGAAAAAGGAATCTGCGTCTTTTGTTTGCCAACGGGAAAACAACTACAAAAACAACAGCAGCTACAAGCATTGGCGACATATATATATATAAGTGTGTGTGTGTGCGTGTACTTTTGCATATATTGCGCACAATTCGGGTAAATGTCCTTGCCAAACCGGAAGTCGACTTGTATACGCTTGAATTGTTATTGTACCCGTACCTCGTATGTGTACTCGCATTTTGTTTGTCGCTCGCTGTCGAACTTTTTCCGCATTCTGTATGTTTTTTTTTCTTTTTGAATTCTTTTACATGTTTCTTTTTATTTTTTTATATTTTTTTTTTTTTTAGTTAGTTGTTGGCCACTTTTTGCTTGTTACTCAGTTTGTGCCTTTAAGCGGATGGCTTTAAAACATTTTTATCATTCTCTTTAAACTGTCTACTTCAGCATTAAATTAATACTCCAAAAGCGTTTAAGTATATACTATAAGAGCTTTGTGGAGCGCACAAGTGGTAAGGGTATGCAATAGTTTCCAATTGTAGATTGCAAGTTGAGCTTTTACGGCAATCAGAGTCTTATGAAGTATTTAAATGATTTGATTCCAGTAAATGAATCAGGTCAAATTGTAGTTTGCATGTCGAAACTTAAGCTTCAAAAAAACCTTTATTGCAGCGCTCATTCCAGGATAAATAATAAATAACCTGAACTCAAAATGGGAGCAGGCCACTGGACTCCTAGATAATGGATCTCGCACCACCACGAAGCTTAAGGCCTTAAAATGTATTTAATTAAATTATTTTATATACAATTCACTAGCGTGTTGCCGCCTTTTAGAAAAACTAAAGAATTCTGTGACAACTATACTCTGGCAACGCTCGATCAACTGATAGAGTGTTGCCACAATTCTGCAGTAAATTATATATAAATTCTGCAAGCCCAAATATTCTTTTGGAATTGGACACTTTTTATTTAGTTGTCTACTTTGAGGCGCCTTTGGGCCTAATCTCAGCAAAACAATATCATAAAAACCGCAAAACCATTTAGCACAAATAGGATCAAAAATATGTATATACATATTAATTGGCTGTCTCAATATTGTAGCAATACTCGTAAGATTTGTAGTTAAATTTATGCGCGCAAAAACTGTAATACTTTATGGGGCTTATTAGGGAAAACAGCTTTCCAATCTGCGGCATATTTACGATGGCAATTGCTACAACATATTCGCTAGTTCCATTTCAAGTCTACAATTGTCTCGCACAGCATTAAGGCACGCATTCATGGCGGAGAAGTCTATAAAAATATTATACATTTATGGCCATAAAAGAGCTCGACTGATAGGCAGTTGCTCTGCGGTGTTTATTCACATGCAGAGCGGCGACAGCATAAATTGTTATGAGTGCTGCGGAAGTCGATGGCTGGCGTCTGTTCTGGCTCTGATGCCTGTTTCCAGCTTCTGCCCTTTGCCTACGAATGATAATAAATTGCAAATTGAACGGAAGCTAATCGCAGGCATATTGTTGAGGACGCCGGAAGGTCGCCAAGCTTGTACAGAAAATTATCAGTTGGCAGCTGCCAAAAAATATTGTGTTTGCATTTAACTGTGGCAAGTATATAACATAGCATATTGTGCGTGGCAGTTGCAGATGCAGGTGTTGCATGCGACAATCGAGCATTTGAACGCTCTGAAGGGCCATCAAATTCGAAAGGTTGGGGTAGCACACATTTAGCCCAAAAGCTGTCGTAAATTTGTTTTACTGAGCAACCTTCGCAAACTTGCCATTTCAGACGACGTCTGCTTTATTTGCTTTTAATCCAAGTCCAATCAAAATCAAATTGCATTTACGAGCTGGCTTTCAATGCGCGCAATTTTATGGAAGTCAAACGATTTTACTCGCTCGCATTTTCTTTTTCTCTTTTTTTTTTTTTTTTTAGCCAAGGGAAACGCTTTCGGTTTTCGGGTGGGTTCCTTTTTTTTTATTATGGACATACAGTGCTTTAGCGAGTACATATCAGCCATACATATGCGTGGGTATTTATGACTCCATATATGTCAATAATTTTTATGCGCTTCATAAATATGCGTGTGTCTTTACGACCGACTGGCAGTTGAATCAATTTCTTTAGCTACCCTCGAGAATGACAGAAATGCCATTTTCAAAAACGTTATTATCGAATCAAATACAAAAAGAATAATGAGAGAGTCAAATGCAGTAAACATATTGCGAATTTGTCTCCTGCACCGCAGGCTAACATGCCACAGACATGTCACAGGGCACACTCGCACACACACACACACACACACGGAGCAGCCCTTGGTGACAGGAGAGTTTCCTTTGAAATGTTACTGTTACCTCCGGGTCTAAAGGGTCTCATAGATGCCACAAGCAGCGACCAACCCAAAACATTCGCCTGCCCACCTGATGGGAAAGTCATGTAAAATAGTTGATAGGAATGTGTGGATTTTGAAAAAATTAAAATAGAAAATAAATGTCTAGTTAACCAGCTTATAAATGGCAGTGTTTGATCATTTTTAAATAAACAAAGTGGGCAGAGGTGTACAGTCATAAAAAAAATAAAGGATCGCTAGTGTGACGAATGGCGAGTAGTTTTTCTTTATACTTTAAGTAAATGTTTTAGATCAGAGAGTTTGAGTGTTGATATGTGATTCTCCTGAATTCTGGCAAATGTCTTCAGCCATTTGGGCTTGTGGGACTAACGAAATTTAAGTTAAATTAGCTTTAGCTGCGAAGCTGCAAATTTGCACAACTAATTAAAGTTTTCTTAGAAACTTGTGAGCTGTTTGTCATTTATCATTTCATATATCTTGCGATGAACTGTTCAGAATGCACACATTTTATATTTTCTGTCTCTAATCTCTGTTGACTACGCATGTATGT